AAGAAAAGAAAAGGCAGAAAAAATGTAACAGTCATACAATTTAAGGGCCATTATTGTAACCCCTTTATGTTTTTGCACAGACAAGGAGACCAAGACTGAGTGTTACAAGACCAAAGGAAGTTTCTCAATGCTGTGGTCTAAGTTACTGGCTCTGTGTGCGTGTGTTTGTATGCGTGTGTATTTCACACGCGTGGGTGTGTGTAACTATGTCTGTGTCTAAACATTTATCTCTGGTGGAGAAATCAATAAGGGTCATCAGTACCACTATCAGATGTGAGGTTTCCTCCCTTCTGAGTCCTCAGTGGCATGTGATAATTACTATTAGAATGTTAGGTCAACTTTGTAATAAATTGATAATCTTATCCACTGTAATGAATGAGCACATTTCATATTAAATAAATAACAAATTATTGGCACTTAAAAAGTAGAAATTGACACATTTTACCAGCTATCTGGTATAGCACTTTTCAAAACAAAGTTACAAAGTGCTTTACAAGACAAAATAAAAGACAACCAATGATGAAGATAAAAACAATTTAAAATTACACAGCATTGAGAGGAGGAGGAGGACGTACATATGAGTAAAATAATTAAAATAAAAGTATAAAATAGTAAGGATGATCAATTAAAGGTCCAGTGTGTGACATTTAGGAGGCTCTAGTGGCAGAAATGGAATATGATAATATATTATAAGTATGTTTCCATTATCATTATGTTTTTACTACCTTAAATTGAGCCGTTTATATCTACAAACCCTGCAGTTCCCCTTCTGTGGAGGTCGCCATGGTGAACTGCCACGTTTCTATACAGTAGCTCTGACAAACCAAACACTGGCTGTAGATAGGGCCGCTTGCATTTTTCAAAATGTTTGGAAAGGGAGGGTGAAGCGAGAGAATCTGTAACTACACCGCTAGATGTAATTAATTCCTCCACACTAGACTTTTAAAACATTGGTTAAGAGAATGCCTTTTTTATGTTTTAAATGTATATGTGAAATATATTGTGACTAAACTACATTTAAACTACATTTGTATTACACGTGAAATGGTGTTTCACGTGTGATAAATTTATATGTGCTTTTTTTTATTAGGAAAAACATGTTCTATCAATTAACTAAATAATTCTTCTAATCAATTAAAGTAGTTGTTTCAGCATCATCCCAGACTAAATTGCTCTGTCTTTTCTTCCACACAACACAGAGAAACGGAGAAATGCTGTGAAGGCATGTCTGTGCCTTGTTGGTGTTGCTTTGTGAGCCAGCCAGTGTTTTGAATTTTAACCTTTCATGGTTGTGTAATGGTGAGTATTTCAAGAACACATTCCTCAAAATTCAGTTTCATAATACATGCGCTTGTAACGTGAGGTTCCAACTCGTCTCGTATTGAATTTAAGAAGCAGGTTGTTGACTTAATATCAGAAGTGTAATATGCTGGAGAAGTGCTCCCATCTGCTTAGCTTACGAGCTCTTCTGCTCATTATACATGACCAATCAGCTATGGAGCGCATGCCCAACAAGGCTGGTTACCTTCTAACAACTGGCAATTACAATCCTGTGTGCTCGGAAAACTTTCTATCTCTCTAATAGAATAGCATGAGGAGACATACACTGTGTAACGACAGCGTCATTCCTACAGAGATTTTAAATTTAATTTTGTAACAGCTAGCAGAGCTTTAAATGTCATATCCTTTGTGCAATCATGTTGTGTAAATGTGTACCCACAAGTCACGTGAGTGTATGGCGTTTGTTCTGTATATGTTCTGCAAACGCCTGACAGAGACAGCACTGCAGATTTGTCTCCACTACTGTATTGTGAAGCAGTGGCTATGTAGCCACTGCTTCACTGCTACTTTAGCTGTCTTTAGCTGTCTTTTTATGTTGAAATATTATGCATTATGGAGATCGCATCCTTGCTCACATCAGCCCGCCATACCAAACACTCAAAACACCTCGCTGATGATGTATTTTGAAGAGACAGACGTTATCACTCTCAATAGCTCACCTCACACAATGCGACATGTTGCTCAGAAGGAGTGGCAATTTAAATATTGTTTTGATAGGGCATGGAAATTTGTATTTCAAGAATAATGCATTTCATTTTGGCTTCCTAACAGGTTGTATCATCATGATATCCACATGGGCGTCAGTGATTGTCATACTGGTGGCAATCGTGAATGGAGCCAGAAATGGTGAGTGTTGCTTTCAGGATAAAATAGCAAATCTAAATGGAAACCAGCTGTTAAGAAGGCAATTGTTATAACACATTTCCCTTCCTTTGCCTTGGAGATACTTTCCAAACTGAATATAATCATTTGTAAAAGACGATTCTCTTCTACATGCCACATTTAAATGAATTTTCTCATTGTTAGAGGATGGCATACAGCCGTGCGCAGAGGTCCAAACGTCCAGCTCAGCTGTGCCTTTGGGGTCACTTGTCACAGCCACCTGTGTCATCACAGATGCCTGCCCCCTGGTCATTGGACAAGCTGTCCATATAGTGTGGAGGCTCGGGGATCGGTTTCTCCCCAGCAGCTCTGTGTCCAATGACAGCGGCAGGGTTTCCAAGGTTGTCATACAGAGCTTCAATCACACCAGGGAGTACCTCACCTGCTGTGTACAGGCCTCTCCTGTTCAAGTAGTAGGAGGAGTGGAGATCAGAGCCGGATGTAAGAATGATTTCAAAGTCTTGTGCATGTTTGTCCATTAATAATCAAATTAACTTGCCTATTCCACGGGTTAATGTCCCACCAGTGAATACCAAAACAGAAAAAAATTATGTTTGATGAAAGAGGAAGTTTAAATGTGTTGGGTTGAGCTCAACATAAAAAAAATAGAAAATAGGTGCTAGTAACTTTTTTTATCCACAATCTAATAGATCTGGCACATTTTAATGGGTAGTAGATACATGTTTTAGAGGTTTACATCTAAAGCAGCAAAGATTGTATCAGAAGATTAAAGCATCAAATAAAAAAGAAGCTGAACTTTTTATTTTATAAACTTTGCCATGATAATAAAACTGCAAATATTAATTGAAAATATAACAAAAATAAAGCTCCATACATTTATTTATTTTTTCATGGTCCAAGCACAAAAAACATTCATGAAGAGATTTATGTTACATATTTAGCAAGATACTTTCCATCTAGAGTACAAACACAACTACTAATTACACAGTTACTACAAATACAAACACTAAATGCATCCAAACATAGCTACATACAAATTTCAATCATACACCCTATATAGATACTCATTCCCACTTGATTCTGATATGATGCAAAGATCCTGGTCCAGTGTAACTTGAGTAACATTGAACTCCAGTGGTAAAATGTGGATGTAGAAAGTGTTTTCCTTAACAGTTTCATAAAAATTACTTTCTTTACCTTGTTGTTTCATCTATAGATCCACCAGAAGCGCCACAAAACCTCAGCTGTCAGACAAACCTCACCACCACTATCACCCTGACCTGTAGCTGGGACCCTGGGCAGCAGGAAACCCACCTGATTACAAAGTACACCCTCCACACCGAGATATGGTAATCTGCCTTTAAATGCTACCAATAACGCACTGAAACCGTTACCAGAAAGCAAACAACATTTTGGTTCCAGGAATGTTTAAATACGCCTTTGAGGTTACACAACTGTGTTTCCCACATTGTAATTTTCTCATTTCAGGGATTTAAACCAGAACCACACTTACGAGGTCCTACCAGGAATTCACCGCTATACCATCCCTCGTGCTGACTTTGTCCTGTTCTCAGAAATGAAAATATATGTGAAGGCAAAGAATGAACTTGCAGAAGCAACCTCAGTACCAATTATTTTGGAACCCACCAGTGCAGGTAAGAAATATAGAAAACATGCATTTATTGAATGTTTTATTTGATTGTATTGCTTGTGGGCGATCAGTAACCTCTGTCAAAATATCACTGACTAGCCATTAGCTGGTATTTAACTAAATTATTACATTGCACTGAACAATCCTTATAGGACCAGTGTGTAGGATTTAGTGGCATCTAGCGGCATAGTTGCAGATTACAATACCTTCGCCTTACTCTCCGATTCCAAGCATGTAGGAGAAACTATGGTGGCAATGATACAGGAGTGCAACATTAGATGGTACTTTTATTATACTCTTCTTATTATTATTATTATTCTATATCTTTCATAATCTAATGTAGCCACACTTTGTCCCTCTCATGTATTGCCATTACAATTGAGTGAACAAAGCTAAAGAGGGTTTACTGCTGCTTTCCTTATCACTTTCCAGATGTTTAGAAGCATCTTGAGGATTCAGGAAATACCTTTAGACCAGCTCTAAGTGTTGTTAAACGACCTTTTGAATTTTTTAGAGATCCCCGGGTATTTATTATTCGGGAAAACTGCTGCTTAGCTCTGTGACCCAAATGTAATTGTAATACATGAAAGGCACAAACCAGAGTTTTTCTGCACTGATTAGAAAACTTCAAAGTGGGGAAAAAATGTATTACATCTATATTACATCAGGGCTGTTTTATTTCAGCTAAGTTCGACCCACCAACAATTCTGAAGGTTCAAGCAGTGCCTAAAAAGTATGGCTGCCTGAAGCTGAGCTGGATCCTATCTCAGCACCAGGTCTGGATGCATAACCTCCGCCTGAACCTGGAAGTTCGTCTTGAGACCGCTGAAAGCCACCAATTGATTGAACAACTAGTGAGTACAATTCATTCTAGTGTCAATATAAACCGAAAACTATTATCTACTAATATAACCAGTTCATAATGTGTGTGTCTGGAGTCATATCTGTATGGTTTGTGTGCTCTTGGACATATGTTAGATACCGGTGAGGCAGGTTAGACTAGCCAGACCTGTGGACCTGTGTCGTCTCTTCCATGGGACTCAGTATCTCGCTCGGATTAGAGTCAGATACCTGCAGAGCCCCTGGAGTGAATGGAGCAGCAGCCAGTCCGGGGTCACCTTGGAAAGCGGTAGGGCTTAGATCAATTCAGAGTGACACAATCAGTCACTCTAACATTTTCCAATCTATTGCCTTTTCTTCCACGTCCTGGTCTTTTCAATATGCTAATGTCATGTTCTACATCTCCTATTGCTTTGCTCTATAGCACAGGCTGAATTGATGTATTGAGTGCTGCCGCGCACTCTGGCAGTGAATCCATAGAGCTGTCTTGTATAGAAAAGTTTTATTTTTTAAAGAGTGAGAAGAGAAGTGCAGGCTTTTGACAAGCCGCTAACCTGACAGCCGTCTCTTTCTTTTCAGCTCCCACTGGACGCCTAGACTGGTGGATGAAGGTATCAGGGGACGATACGCACAAAGAACTCAGCATACACTTGTTTTGGAAGGTACACACATCACATACGTTGCTTGACACCTGTCACAAACTGAAATACTGACGTATTTTTTGTTCTAGCTCTGGTAAAGTGTGTGAGGCCTGCCTTTAAAATATCTTCTCACTTTTTTCTTTAGCCATCAAAACAATTTCGTGCCAACAGCCAGAACGTGTCATACATTGTCTCGGTGCAAAAACTGCCTGGTGAAAAGGGAAAGTTGTGCTCTACAATGGGGAATTACTGTACTTTCCAGCTTCCCAGGAGAGCAAAGAAGGTGTATCTGAGTGCTTTAAATGCAGCAGGGAAATCCAACCCCACTGAAGTTCGGATTTATCTACCTAAAGGTAAAATCGACACCCTAAACCTGCTTTAACTGGTTAAGAAAATTGCTCCAGCATGATACAGCTTCATACTTTTTTCTCACAACATGTACAATATGTTTTGTGTCTGTAGATCATACAGTGATTTCAGACGTCTCAGTCATTCCTCATGATGACAGATCCCTACTGGTCCAGTGGAGAAGCCTGGTTTCTCCCAGTCCCACTGGTTTTGTGGTGGAATGGAGGCCTTTGTTAAAAACAGACCTGTCTCTCACACAGTTTGAAATAACTGACAGAAACCAGACAAGTCTTGTTATAACAGGTATGTTTTATAGTATTTGTATTGCCGGTTTTTCCATGTCTCCTTCTTATTTTACTCACCTTTTTATTTAGTTTTCCTAATCTGATGTTCATCCTTTACCATGAAAATTCACTATTATGCAAGGTCTTCTTTTTCCTCTGCACGACCTGCCTGTACACACTGTTAGGAGCTTATAGGCACTGATACACTCTAACCTCTTCACTCTCATCAATAGGCAGCTTTGAGCCCTACAAGCCCTATGGGATCTCTGTGTATCCTAGGTTTAAGGATGGGATAGGCCTTCCTCAGACTGTTAATGCCTACTCGAGACAAAAGGGTAAGTCACCAAAGACACAAAGAGGATCACACTAAGAGCAGGCAGAGGTGTGAGAGTTGGGCTGCCTTAACTTTGAAGAAGTGGGAAAAGAGTTTGCCACATTAGTAAAAATATATGTATTTTCTGCAATCTATCAGAAACAGCTGATACATGATGGAATAATGCCCTCTTGTGGATAGGTATATTTTTGCTGGCTTAATGGCTTCAAATCATGAGCACAGTAGCTCTCTTTAGTAATACTGATCACTCATTATAATATTTCCTTTTAAAGCTCCATCCATGGTTCCAAAAATACGAATTAAAAAGACCTGGCAGTCACACATTGAGCTTACTTGGGATGAAATACCATTAGACCAAAGGAACGGAATTATCCAGAGCTACAAAGTCATGTACTGGAATGAGAAGGGACTCATTAACGGTGGGTTAAGGACCTTAATTTCACTGTTCTATAATATTTTTGTCATGTACTTGATGCTATCTGTTTTCTGATCTTTCCTTCAGTTGTGAATGCTGACCTGGAAGAGAGGACGGTGGTCCTCAAAGACCTCAACACTGGGCCTCTGTATGAGGCATACATGATGGTTAGCACGTTTGGTGGAAGCCTGAATGGGTCAACAATTCATTTTAATATTGAGCCCTTCGGTTGGTATCATTGTTTGGCTTTCTAGAAACATGACAGATCAAGAAAGTGTGTATTCCCACAGCAGATATTTCATTCAAAATATATATTTCTCTCTTCTTAGATGTGGTTACTGTTGTGTTGATTGTGACTGCGTCTGGAGTTGGACTGTCATTGTTGATTATCTTCATTGTCACGACTTGTTTCTCCAACCACAGAAGGTGAGATCATTGCCACACTGTCTTAAGCTGTGAAGCTGTAATGTGATTTATTCTTAATATCTTTTTACTTTGTTTTGCAGGCTGAAGGGGCGTTTCTGGCCAGCTGTTCCAGATCCGGCTAATAGCAGCATCAGGAGATGGACATCAGAATCAACACAGGTGCAGAAAATTAACCTGGCCAAGATAAAATACTTTTATGCTATAACCTACACAAGGTTAAAGCCAAAATAATCAATATTTTTATATTAACAATGGATCAGTTCAAAGTGATTAGCCCACAGGGAATTCTCACCAACTCTGCAGTTCCACTCTGCACTATAGCACAATGCAGCATTTTCCAGCTCATTGTTTTGGTTTCATAAGCTCCAACTTTACTGTTTTGGTACAGTCTCAGTTCTCTCCTCAACCTAATGTCCAGCAGCAGCATGTAGCTGTTTTCAGCAAAAAAGGTTATGATAAATCTTCTGTGCACTACCTTCCCAGCACCAAATAGCAGACAGACAAAGTTAGCAGCAATCTGGTGGACATGGTGGAGAATTCAGCAGCAAAAGAGGCAGATATTTGGAGTGGGAGAACAAAACAGAGCTAGAAGGAGAGGGAATATTGGACTCACTTATTAGAATTGTCAGGTGGACAGAAACACAACTCCAAATTATTTATAATGTTGCTCTATGTCTGCTGTATGTGTACTGTTTGCTAACACATTACTTATTTTATATGTCAATGTTTACAGGTCATAATTAATGCTGCTTTAAATAACATACATATGACAAAGTACAGGCCCTATCCTTTGTCATTTACTAAATAAAGAAATTGATGGCTAAATTATTTTCCTTTTGCAGGATACCAATCTTGCTTCGGACAGTGAGGAGCCCAATCCAATATACCTGTCCCACCTCAGCTTCCTGGACCTCCCTGTGAAACTAAGTAAACAGGACGATGACCTGTGGTTGAGCAGTGCAGAGGACACCAGTGACCTGGGAGAATCCATTTGTGGTTCACCATTCATCCCTGGCTACTCTGGTTCAAACTGCGACTCTGTTCCTTACGCTACTGTGATCTTCTCCAGTCCATGCAACAGCCCTACAAATAAAGCTCCTAATGTCTACCTGCGTTCTGAGTCCACACAGCCCCTCTTGGAGACTGAAGAATCCTTCAGTCCAGAGTGCTATCAAAATATGGCAACTGAGGGGTTGCCCAGAGAGCAATGTTTTTTTGGACCGTGCCATGATTGCATACCCGAAGAACAAGCCAACCCAGGCATCCTTTGGGATGACTTTCCTTTTCTACGAGCATTAGCAATGAATGATACACAAAATGACTAAAAGTACTTTGCTGATTATAAGAGTAACCGCTTTGTAAGATGTAGAGTTTGTGTAATGAGCCAATTGACATAAGTTTGATCCAGCATAACACACAGCTGTAAATGCACACTAGATTTAATCCTAAAATCACTCTGATGTTAATGATTATGATGTTGATTATTTGTCTGTGCACTCTGTAGATACTTCCCTTCTTTGCAAAATAAACTTTTTTACTGAAGAAAAAAATGATATTGTTGAAATGATTGAGTTGTCATGTGATCTGAAATGCCGCCTACAATTTCTACAGAAAACAGACAGCGTAAATAAAATCATCACTCCACAAAACAGCCTGGGGTGATTTTAGGTAAGTAGGACTCTTTTTGACAAATTATTTTTACGCCATATCAAAAATAAGACACTTGATTTTATGACTAGATACTAAGACATTTCAGTGTAACTGCTTTAAACATCCATTTAGTTGTATAGGATGGAGGAAGCAGATATTAAACTATGATGGGGGATTAAAATGTATTTAGAAGCTGGGAATATTTGTTTGATTAAAATACCTTGTTGCCCAACTTTGCCCAACAGCATTTCTTCTTTATACTATGCTTCTTCTTTCTTCTTCTTCTTCTTTTCTCCTTCTTTCTTTTCATTAGATTGTATTTTAATTATATGTCTTCTCCTATTCCTCTCTGTCATTTGCCATTCATTTGGTATAGTATCCGTTCATATTCATATATTTAATCAAGTCATTATTATCTGTAAATTGACAAATCATTACTCATCCCACTCAACCTGAAACTCCATTGTCTCTTACAACCTAAACCACTCTGAAATAAAAACTATCAATTACAGTAGTTAAATATTCAGAATTTCTTATTTAGCAAAATACTGCTAAAAGAGAGCTCCAACTCTCGGCTTACAATTATTACAATTATTATTATTATTATTATTATTATTATTATATAACAATATATAAGATATTATCTATTGTGTATACTTCTTGTATAGTCAAGTATCTTATTATAATATGCATATATCATATTTTCAAAATCTTGGTGTGTATTATATATATATACAGTATGATATGTATGCACACTTGACAGGCTGGGAATATATGCACATGTTTTCATATTCAATATTAATGTATAATTCTATGTGTATAATGTATATCTGGTTCATTCATTCAATATATATACATATTATTTTATTTTATTATAAAATATTATATAATTTATTTTATAACACTTACCATTCATGTCATCAGTTACCTATACCACCATCTTGGCACTACAACTCCTTTGGCACCTTTTACCTTACCTATTTATCTTTTTTATCTTTTCTACTAAGTATTTTATTCTATTGTTGTATTTTATTGTATTTTAATGTAACCGGCTGCTTATGACGACCCCATTCATTCGGGATGAATATATCTATCTATCTATCACTGTTGTTTATTTCTCCCTTTATTTGACCTATCGATGTGTTCTGGGATTGTGAGCCTAGCCTAGAAAAACATTCCCCCATCCTCACTCGACTAGTTTGGTCTAGTCAAAATGGCGTGCCTCATGTAGGGGTCGAGTGTGGTTACCTGTCACATTTTCTTCACATTTAAAGCACTTATCGTGTACCTTGTTACCTACCCTGGCGACCATGTTCGCAAACATAGCCCTGCGAACTGTCCTGAAATCGTCCGCTACTGTTTTGCGAGAAAGCGGCGCTCTGTGCTCCTGGACGCGCAGCTCGGCTTCACTCCCAGGACCCAGAGTCAGCTGTGGTGAGTTCAGCAAGAACCCGAGGAACATGAGCAGATTTATTATTTATTAGTTCATAAAATACCCGGCTGAATGTCACTGTTATTTCATGAACAACGCCAGAGCATCGTGAGCAGTGGGCACTGTTGACTGAGAGCGGGTCACTGTATGCTTATGTCTGACTTTAGGTTGTTAGTGTGTGGCTCTTGTATGTTTTTTGAAACCCCAGAAAGCACATTTTTGTTTCTTTACCCAGCTTGAACTGGTAACGTTAGTAAACTGAAAATGTAATAACAAACACTGCCAACGACTTTTAGACAGAGCTCATACATCGTTATGTCCTCTGCCTCTTTCCGTAGTTTCAGGACCGCTTTATCTTTCTCATCTGAAAAACACTTTGTTTCTAATTTTTGATTCAGTGTTTTTATTATCCGGGTCACTGTTTCTAACATTTTTTTTTTCTCTTTGACAACTGAGGGTTGGCAGTGTTGGTTGGAAGATTGTCTCGAAAATAAGATGCTGCATCTCAAGGGGCTACCTTTTTTTTTTTATAAATTCAAAGTCAATTCAAACAAGGATAATAATGTTAATAATAAAACAATATATAATTATGATAATAAAAGTGCATTTAGAGTTGTTTAACAAGCTAACATTCAAAATTAAACAACTGTACTGCTTGGAATAATACAATTATAATATAAATAATATAATAATTATATAATAAAATTGGAGTACTTACATTTACACCAAGTTGCCTGTTTGTTTTGTACACTTACTAAAAGTAAGGGTAAGTGAAGGTAGTCTAAATATTAGAAACACCTCTACAGATCATCCAATACGAGTCAACAACACCACAAACTACAAACTATGGTCTTTCAATATTACCATAAAATTGCCTTCACTATGGCTGTGCACTGAGCTAAACACACTTCAAATGAAGGCTGAAGATAGCAGTGGGCCTATGAGGTTTTTACTCAAAGCAACTGGAAAACAATATTGGACAACCAGTTCAATGGTAGTGAAAAAATATGTCCTATAAACAAGTTAGTTGGAGAGTTACACCAAAGGTATTATGTTAGCCCAACAATAAATCAAAGTACTTAAAATATTGTATTAGCAACTCATTAGGCTCAGACAGCTAGTATGATTATTACAGAAAAACTAAATGAACAAATTACAACTCAACAGTTGTCGAACAGGCCCGTTCTAATATGATATAATGAAAATAAATATTCTTAACTCAATATAACCTATTGCTGAGCAGGTTTGCACTTTTGTAAACTTTATTAAGTGGATGTGGATGATAGTGATGGGCATTCCTGCTCTTTTTTGTACCACTTCTGGCTTTTATCAGCCACATTTAGCAGTGTTTTTACCTATTATTTGTATGTGTGCACACATCACTCAGCCTTATCATTTCCAGAGTGCCATCATTTTACCATTTTTGGGTCTCAGTGTTATTACAAAAGGGAAACGTTTCTGGATTGTATTAAAAAAAACAAAATAGTTTACTTAAAGGAGCCGACTCGTTCAAGGATGACACAGCATTGTGTATGCCTTTGTCTGCTCAGTCTAATGCGCCAACTCATTATCTTTATTATGATCATACCTAGAGCATCTAGCTATGCTTTCATTTCCCTCTCACATCTAATAGAATGTGTTAACTAGTTTTCACTGTGTTGCGTCCTATTTTTAGCTCACTGACAGCCACAGACGTACTAAAGCTTAATTAACAACCCCGCCTAGGAGACCAGTTCTCCTCAACTCAATGACAAATGCTGGGAAATCCTGACTCACATGTCAATGAATAGTTATTAACCCAACATCACATTTAATTTAGTTTAGTTTACAGTAGAGATACCACCATTATTACATTACTTGTCAGCCATTAAATTAAACAATAATCGCTTTGATTAAAGAACAAAAAATCTAAATTCTTTTAACTTCATCTTCTTAAATGTGAATATTTTCTGGTCTCTTTACTCCTCTGTGACAGTAAACTGAACATCTTTGGGTCAAGAACAAAATAAGACCTTTGAGGAAGTCATTTTGTACTTTGGGAAACACTGATCAACATTTTTAACCATTTTCTGACAATTTTTTAGACCAAACCACTAATCGACTAATCAAGAAAAGAATCGACAAATGACTCAACAATGAAAATAAGCATTAGTTGCCAACGCTAATGTAGAGTTGCTAGTCTGAGGAAAATAAAATTGACTGTCTAGACTGCATAAAATATTGACATAGTCTCTGTGACATCAGCCATAGGTTTCTGAAGAGCGTGATCTTTGCAGTGCCTTGCGTAACTCTGCCGGCTCCCGACTAATCCAAAAATGGGCAAAGACGAGGAGTTCAAGGGACACTTCACCCATTTGCATTAAGCTTTGTATCGTTAGAAACCCAGTCATATTTTTGAATGGTCGTGCACCATTCCCTCATTTTCCCCTGAAAGACGGGGAAAGTAGCAGAGTTTTCAGTGTCTCACGTCCTGTGCATTCCCAATGAGTAAAAATCGTTCCATGTGGTTGCGTCACTGCGCAGCAGGGAAGTCTCGTCTTTGTAGAGGGGTGACGACCACAAACACGTCTTTGCAGTGAGACTACAAACACTCTTTTCTCGGTCAAATAGGCACCAAATTCAAAATTTATGTTACATTTCGACTACATATATAACCCACTTTCAATAAAGATTAATGTTTCCACGGGTGAAATGCTTCTTTAAGGCAGACAGAATGAAGCCTGTCTGCTAAAACCAGCAACCTGTAACAGCACCCACATGTCACTAAAAGCGTGTGCATCCTTAATTATGCATAACTTTAAGCCTTAACATACTAGTATAATATACGAGTTATATAACAATGTAACCCAGTTGTCATGAACAGAGAATGAGCTAGAGACATGTTTATTTCTGCTGTGAAGTTGGGCATTTTAACACGGGGGGGGGGGCTATGAAGATTGACTCAGTTTTGCAGCCAACCTCAAATGGCCTTTTGAGGAACTGCAGAGTTTTGCAGTTCCGTGTTGGCTTCATTTCTTGCAGCCATGGAGGTTGCCGCTTGGTACTGTCTCACAGACATTTAATCACTGGAAATATAAGAAGTAAAAAGTAGCATTTGGGGAAGCAACGTCATTGGTGTTTTGATGATATTGAAAACCACTATCCTCTCATCATCTGATAGGTGCATGGTTGTGTTTTATCTTGGTGTGGGACAGCCATGTTATCCACATTATCTTGGGTGTGCTCTTTAAATCATGCAGCTTAAACCCGAGGATGGGTTGCATCATCATCCTGTAACTTTCTTCTCACAGAACAGAATAGAGAGGCTTCACATGCAGCATCCAGCATTCATGCTAAGTAAATTGCTGCAAATAAAAATGTCTGGTGTTGGGTTTGGTCCCTAGCATAAATGTTTCTTCGCATGCAAGAGTAACGTAAAGTGAAAGGAGTGCTCAGACCTTACTTCTAATCAGAATAAAGTAGTACAACATTAGCACTGGCCACTACCCAAATGCTGCTAAAGTGGCTGATAGATTTGCTTCACTCACCAGCAAAAAAAAAAAAGTAATCTATTGACATTCACAAGCCATTTGGCAGATTTTGCATCTGTTTCAATGTAAAAATCAATTTCTCAAGAAGGAGTAGGACCACCATTATCTTTTAGTACAGCTATAGCTTACGATAATGTCAAATTTAGAATAGTGTCAGATTGCTTGAGGGTGTGTAGGAGGTGGATATTTTACAAATGGCATTATCAGTATGAAATATAGGCCTCTGTGGTCCGGATCTTTAAATAGCCTCTATTTTTAATACGTATCTATTTTATCTTCTGAGCTATTATACAGCCACAGAAGGCACTCATTGGATGGAAGTCATAATCATTACAAGTTAACCACTTTCTGTTTATGTAAAAAAATGGTTTCATCTTTGCTCTTGTTTGAATACAGAGCTATATTGGTGTTAACGTTTTGTGCTCCTTATAATGCGTCTTTGTGGGTAAGAGATTTCCTGTAGAAGCCATGACAGTCCACAACATGCATTTCTGGTTGAAAGTGTGTCACAAGTCTTGGTTTAGTTCTGCTGTAATTTGTGACTTTGTGAAGGTTCCATATATTTCACTATCAGCTCTGCGACAGTTTGCTGTGTCAGACAAATCATTTTTCCCTTTGTCTTACAACATTAGATCACAGCTATGATATCTAAGATAAGTCATTTATTCTTTTGGTGTTTCCATAATTCTGTCCTCACTAGACATTTATATTTTCTTTTTCTCTCTCTCCTCAGTTGCAGGAAGCTTTGCTGTTTCAACACCAGTGAGACATTATGCTCGGGCTGCGAAGAAAAGGAAGACGAGTATGTAATGAGGCTACACTGTCACCAAACCATGTCTTGGCAATTTTGAAATCTCGCTTTTCATCCAAACACTTTGTGTCTTTCAGGCCCCGAGGGCCAGTTCAGTGACCTTTCTCCAACAATGCTGAAGGTGGATTATACAGCTGTACCCCTCGCTCAAACGTAAATATGCGTATATACCATACCTTATCTTGAATAACTTAATAACACAATTGATTACAAACCTGCATCTGTGTATTTATTAGGTTATCAATCTACTTTTCTAACACTAGTGTATTTTGTGTTAATAGGACTGATGATCTCGTCAAAAGACTTCTTTCGTTGGAGTTGGCAAGTCATGTGAGTTCTTATGTCCCCACAGATCGCCTTGTCATGTTTTACTCTGCTTTCCTGTTTTCCCAATATTTTTGATGATAATTATGGTGTTACTTGAAATTTACACTGACTTGAATTTCAGAAAGTCAAGTAATAAACAGGCAGTGTAACACTCTGTGTTCATGTCCTCAGAGTGACAAGCTGAAGCTGAAAACGGAACAGATGATCGAAAAAGTCCAACGGGACAAGAATGACCGCAGCTCAGTGGAAGTTCAGGGTGAGTTGCCTTTTTGCAATCTTGTACATAGTGTTTTGAACAAAATACTAAGATGGGATATAGTGTATTTCAACTGTATGCCCCCCCCCCCCTTAATGTCTTTTCCTTCAGTGGCTATTTTGACTGCAAGAATCCGAAACTATCAGGAGCATTTGCAAAAACATCACAAGGTGAGTAAAGGAAGTAGAAACAGCATCATTTTTCTCCCTCGCACGCTAAACAGAAAGGCTTGTTCTTTGGTCAGGTGTTGTATACAAGTCTTAAATGACGTATCGTATCATATGATAGGGCAGCTGACTTGCACCACTAGAACTTTGATGAATACGTCTCTCCACATTTCCTCTCTGCCTTCCTCTGGTGTGAGAGTTGTGTTCTACAGGATATCCTGTGTACTCCCCCACATGAAATAAGAACATGCGTAGCACAGTCACGGTTGGAAATTTCCACGTCATACATCATATATCGAACATTTTTGTTCAAATTGACAGAGATGGGGAATAGAGGTGGCAAATGTTGAACTGTGTCTCTGTTGCGTTTGCAATTAAGTATCTCCTCATAAGCTGATTGATGTATAAACTGGGCTTCAAATGGTGTCCTCATTTTCTCCCATTTGAGCCTGTTTGAATCACATTTGTAGCCCAACCCCCATTCTATTATGTTATGTATTTTATTCCAGGACATAGCTAACAAAAGACGGATGCTCATGGCCATTGACCGGAGGAAAAAGCTTTTGAAAAACCTCAGGTTGGTTCGCTACGATGCCTTTGAGAAAGTGTGTGAGCAGCTGGGCATCACCTACACCTTCCCTCCAGAGTACTACAGACGGGTGACTCGTCGCTGGCTAGCCAAGAAGGCCTATTGCATTAAGGTATGAAACAAATGACCCCATTATTCTGTTTACACCTATATTTTCTACGTATGAGAATGTATGCTGTCTTTTTTATTGGAAGTGGATAACAGTGGTATCAATTGGAGATTCATATCTAAAGACCTTAAACCTTGTGTGAGACTATACTCCACACTAGTGAAGCAATAGTGCATGTTGTTTTTGAGAGCATTACTCCAGCTTTCTGTCAGCTGTTGTGGGCACTATGTAACACGTTCAAGGTGTGATTTTACAGCTCCACTGACACTTGATCACATGTCTCTTCTCAGGTCTTCAAGGAAGTGCAGAAGCAGAAAGCAGAGCAGAGGCTGAAGATGAGTTCAGCCTCCACAAACACCAAGACAGCCGAGACAAAAGCTGTTTAGAACCAGTAAAGACAATATACTGTATAATACAACACTTATGTGGCATGTGAATAAATAGTTTTTGTTTCCTTTTTCATGTGCAGTCATACAGTATTATTTTCTTTTGCTTTCAAGTTGATGTCAGAATTAAAAGAAAATAAATTGTCCCAGAAAGTTGTATTCAAATGCGTTTGGTGTTTAAGTTGTATCTGCACAAAACAAGTGAGGCAGCCACTGATATTACTTCTGCAAGGTATTAACTAAAGTCAGAAACTCCATTGTCCACTATAGGCTGCAACTTAAAGGACTCAACACTGAATCTCATGACTACTAGAATTGCATTGTTGTACTGCTCCTAATAAAACATAAGTCAGAGCAAGTGATTGCATAATGTTAAATTAGTCACAATATTAGTACTCTTTCTTTTATTTTCTGCAGGCCTTGTGCAGAGCAGCACTCTTCCGTATCTGTAAGAGCATCTGTGATATTACAACATGATTGAGCACTGTTTAATTGACTTGAGGTCAAGTGTTTGTGGAGAAAAGGTTTTTCAATAGTCATAACACAGGAGTTAGAAACAATAACAAGAACAGCTTGTACAGCATGCTGGTTGCTGCATTATAGTTCAATGTGTTTCTTATTTTTGTCCAATAAAACATCCCCTCAAATTGTGACCCTAACCCCATAATCATTTCATTTCATATCCGATATTCTGAATAAGAATTTCAGATACTACTTTTTGAGAGCATCATCCTGCGAATTTACATTATAATATATATTAAAGTTATTTCTCACCTGATTTTCCGAATGGCAACATTATGCCCTGTGTGAATGTAACAGGGACATGCATATGAACATTTGGGTTGACATAATCAAAAAGGAAGTGTGCAGCTATGTGTAGCTTTGTACAGGTTCAATACTTGAAAAACAAACATCCCTTCTCTTACAAACTGCAATTATGACATAGTATGACAAACTGGGACATGATGCATCGGTTGTTCTATGAAATCATAGTCTAAAAGATTCTGACAACTTTGTGAATTCTCTTTAACTGCTGATCTAATGTGAGATTGGAGAACCATTTAAATCGAAGCCTTCTCCTCCTAACAGTCTATAGATGTTTGTGATTGCACCCACTGTCGCCCTCAAAGCACAGCAGGACCAATTCTCGTTAATAGTCAGTTTGTCAGTGAATCACCACAGATCTTTGTCATCATCAGAAACAGCAGTTTGTTGGCAAACCAGCATTTCACAGCTCAAGTTCGTCACAACTTCCTGTGTGGTGTGTTGCTTGTCATTTTGATCAGTACGAGTGCACACTGACAGACTCTTCTGGTAAGTGTGACACCTTTTTTCCCTCTCGCAGTAGATCAACTTAAAAGTTCACTATTAATTTATACACACTGATACTGATATTTGCAAATTATTCGTATTTTGTATTTTAAAAGTTGTGCATTCACGATGAACTCATTTTGATAGCATTTATACAAAATAAGGTCACATGTTCTTTAGTACTGCAGGTTGAGTAATACCTTCATATTAATTCTTAAGTATGTAATAATTTACGTACTTGGCTCATAGTTAACATACATACGTACATACTTAACTATGGTGACATTTACCAGTCTGTGTCACAATAACTTACTTTTATATAGTATTATGATCTAGTATTGACCTAATCAACCATAGACTATACAGAGAAAATAATTTTAAAGGGGAGAAAAATACAAAATAATAATATTTTCTGAGCAAAATTTAAAGGGTGGGAAGCTGAATAGTTATACACTGATTGTGTTGAAATCAAGTAAAACAATTATCAGTTATTATCTAAATAACAAAACCTTGCAAAGCCCACACACTAGTGTCTCGTTCTGTGTTAATGACGAAGTCCATGAAAAGTTTGTACATACATTACATGCTTTGCAAGGACATTCATGAAAGTGGATTGAACTGTATGAGTAACACATTTAGTATTTTAGAGTTATTCTCCAATGGAGAGCACTAGAATTTATTTACTCATACCGCTGACTTATTCTATGACGAAGTAAAACTGACATATCCTACTCAGGAAATTAATAGTGTCACACATAAGTACATATGACAAAATGTGAAAATAACTGAAAGGATTAATTTAGATAATTTTTTCTAGTGCTTTTCCACATTTTGCGCTATTCTGGTGCTAACCGCTGAATGTGTTCTTAACTAGGCAGCTGAATTAGAAACAACAAGCAGTTCTGGTAATCCAAAATGTCAAACCCAGTGGTGACCCATCAACCAGGGGCAGGCGGCTATGGAACAAATGTCCAAACAGGAGAGTGGAGCACCGGGCTATGCGCCTGCTGCAGTGACATTTTAGTCTGTGAGTACCATTCAAGATGCTTAAATTATTATTATTATTATTCAGTTTTACGTACTTTCATTCTCTTTCTCTTTCAAAAATTCACAATGGAATACACTTATATTTTGCAGGTGCTCTTGGTTGCTTTTGTCCAATTGCACTTAGCTGCTACACAGCAAGCAAGTATGGAGAAAACTGCTGCTTGGGTTGTTTGCCAGGAGGCTTAACAGCCATGAGGACTCATATGAGACTGACCTATGGTATTCAGGTAAATAATTCATATCCGTATTTCATATTCTAAACTCTTCAGAATACCTTTGCTAATGTTTTTGGGTGGTGCTTTAAGTTTCATAGAGGAAGACTCGCCTGTTTTCAGTAACTTGACTCTTATGAAAGAGAGATTTCATGAACATAGGACATTTTGGGTGTTCCCAATTGAGAAACCTCAACTGCAGGACATTTCCTCATAGAGTGTCTATGTTCCACGTTGTGATGTTGTTACTATCTTTTATCCTCAGGGAACAATACTGAATGACGCCTTGATGACCTTTTGCTGCGGACTTTGCGAGACATGCAGGATGGCGAGAGAAATCCGTATCAGGAATGGAGAAATTTCACCATAATAAGACATAAAGGACATAAAGGTTGATTATATCCAGCTATTGTGGAAATAATTTGTTTATTCATAGCAGGCCTGGCATTTATGCAAACAACAATGAAGGAACAGCTGATGAATTCTGCAATTCAGCGTATTAAATAGCCTTATATCTACCCGTATAACTGTGTGGCAAAGTGCTGGTACTGATTTGCATTATTGTAAATAAATTGCATTTTTCAATTACATTAAAGCATGAATGATTTTGTACCCTATTTTCAATAAAAAATGTGATTATTTAATGGTATTAATATACTTTTTAATGTAGGAAATTATATAATAACTTAAAATGTGATCCAAGTGGTTTTCTGACAAAAAAATTTCCTATGTGGATCACTTTGGTGAATATAAACTTTTGCTTGTGACCCCTTAAAACAATGTGTGTACCTGAAGTATTCTAGCTCTTGGCATTAGTTGTGAGCATTTCAACCAAACATTTTTTCGGAAGGATTTTAGGTGCTCGTATGTGTGAAATAATTTCACAGGAAGAAAAGCAAAAACAGAAAGAACATACATTACATCATTTTTTCAAATATTTAATCATTTAACATATGCAGTTGACCTCCAGGTTACTTCACATGCTGGTGAAATTGAAAGCTTCACACCCG